AGGAAAGAACAGATCAAATATTTATAATACAAACTATTAAGTAAGAATTTCAATATGTTTGTTTTCTCTACAGCCTTTCCCTGTTATATTGTACTCAGATATTTTGGTAGTAAAGAAAATTCCTTTCTAACTGTAATTCACAGTAATAAAATATATGAAAAGAGCATTAAGAGTGCTTTGGAGAAGGAGCTGTTTCTGAAGCTTTTATTCTTGCTCATTTTATCAAAGTGTAAGGGTTCTATCTTTAAGATAAAATGTGACAAGCTTATGCTGAAGGAAGAGAACATGACAAAAAGAAAACTTCTAATGCAATTGTCATTTGCAGCTTAGATATTAGAGAAAAACAGATATGGCAATGATCTTATCTGTCCTCAGAGATTCTATTCTGAATCTTATTGACCACCTAATCTAATCATATATATCTTTGCCTATGAAAATCTATGTACTCTGTGAAAGCTTCTCAGTTAACTCTTTCACAGGCAGCTTTGCAGATGAGGTCAGTCAGCTATTGTATTAATTTACTGTGCATGAATATTTTCATTAGATATTCCTGGTGATATTCCAGGAGAAGAGCAAGCAGCAAAGGGATGAGCATGATGTATAGCTGTAGATGGAATCTTCATATACCTCTGACATTTGTGATGTGTCTAGCATCAATGTTTCCCTAACCGAGAATTCAATTCAGTATGCTTAGGACACAAATACAGAAAAATAGCACGAAAATAGCAGAAAAATTCTAATGTAAAAAAAAAAAATGTTACTAGATGATTATGCGGTATCTGTCATGTAGTTCAAGCTATTAGAGATGGTGAGTTTTATCTCAGTTTCTTTCTGTTTTCTTTGCTTGGTAGCATGATTTGGTGGCTTTCAGAAAAAATAACAGCAACTGCTGCTGGGACAAGTATTCAGAAGGAGTGTTAGAAATGATGATAATGGTGATGCAGCTTTTTCCTGTCCCATTGAATGGCTACTCCTCCATAATCTCCAAGAGAGTGGCTACCTCATTCCCTTAGTCAAATATGAGTCTCTGGAAAATTTTTCATGTCTGTCATTTCAACCCTAAACTTGACAAGTTTCAGTGTCTTTTTAAGTAATACATTCAAATTGCAGTCTGTCTGAAATTTTGCACTTTATCAATTTTATTTCTAGTTTAGCTGAGGAATGCCAGAGCTTGTGTTGTACCCATTTAAATAGCACCCTCCTTTATCTTGTTTGTTGATCTCTAGATTTTCTTGAGACTTTTGAAGAGGTGAAGAGCCAGGAATTAGAACGAAAGGCCCAAACAGAAGCCAACATTATTTTACTCTTGGAGCGCTCAAGTAGGGTAAGTGCTTTTCCTTCCTGCTGTGGTAAATCAGGAGTATAGAAACAGAACAGGGAGCGGAAGGGATAAGCAGGAAGATGATGTTTATATATTATCCAGTACATATTTATATAATACACTTCAAGAAGATTAAAAACATACCATGTTCACTTGTAAAGAAAAAAAAATTTCTCATTATTGCTAAGGAAAGCATTTTGAAAATTAGATAACAAAATGGAAATGGTAGTATCATTTGCATCTTATAGTGTAGTGCCATTGCTATAACTCACCATCATGGTTATAATAAAGAGCATTTGTGCTAAAATATGTCAGAATACTGCAAACAAGGCTGCTATTCTTGAAATTTTTGTTTATACAAAATCTACAAACCTCATTTAATGGGTATGCCATGAGGTCTGTTAAGTAACTGACAATATTTCAGCTATACTTCTGATAAAATCAAAAATTTTGTCTGGAACACCTAACCCAACCCAAATTTAACATAAACACTTTAAATATTGTTCACATTTTCAATATTTGTCAGGTTTTGCATTTATAAAATATTTTCCATGTTAGCATTTTTGTTTCCAGTAGTCTTTTTCTTGTTTCAGAAATGTTTCRGCACTATAGTGTTTTGATTGTGTCCTAAACTGCCCTAAGCTGTTTTACTATGTTATATAGCATCTTATGTAATGATACAGAATCACAAAGAATAGTTGTGGTTAGATGACACCTATCTGAATGCCCTGCAGAAGCATGATCAGGTACAGAATGCTGCTCACAGCTATGTTCAGACAGCCATGGAATATCCCAAAATAAGAGACTCCACAGTCTCTCTGAGAATACTTTCTSTTGGGCCATCTTAAGAGCAAAGAAGGGTTTTCTCGTGTTCAGGAGGAATTTCCTGTGTTTCAGTTTGTGCCTGTTGCCTTTGATCCTGTCATTGGACACCACTAAGACGATTCTGAACTCATCCTCTTGATAAACTCCTATCAAATATTTATAATCATGGATAAGATCTCCTCAGGGCCTTCTTTCTTCCAAGCTGGACAGCCTTGGCAATTTCAGCATCCTCTTGTATGTCAGACGTGGGCCTTGTAGCCCTTTGCTGGACCCACGCCAGTATGTCCAAGCTTTTCCTGTATTGAGGAGCCCAGCACTGGACACAGCACTGCAGGTGACACTTWAGACAAGACAGGTGTAGCAACAGTGCTTATTGTGATCTCTTTATCTTCACTGGCACATCAGTGCATCTTCTGCCAGACTGCATTTARATCATCAGAGTATTGACACTATTTTCAGTCTTTCTAGTAGAAAAGCCAAATAACAGATAATGTACTAGGAGAGCTTCTTTCTTGTCAGTTTGCATTCATCATTTCAAAGGTACAAAACATTTCATTGTTGTTATTGGTAACATGCAGAATGTGAATCGTATGAAACAAATTTCATCTGTTACCAATCAAGAGYTGAAGATTATGCAGGAAGACCTCACTTTCAAGTCATCTGAAATGCAGAAATCACAGAGCACTGCTAAGAATCTCAGTACAGGTGAGATGAGCAATGAATTTTCAAATTAATTCCTTTAAAAARATTGAAATTACTTGATTTGTTACACTAATAACAAAATACAGCATCAGTGATCTCTGGGTATTAAAAAACAGTTGGCAAGTTGACCATCTAAAACAACTATAAATAACAGATCGTATATATTCCTGATAACTATTTCCCATACTATTATTTGAGAGGCATATTGTTCACTGACATGGAAGTTTATTATTATTTGCTTCAAAATAAAAGATATCCACAATTTTAAAATAATGTTCAATAAACAGAAGCAGAGAGCCACTCAGTTAATTAACGATACATACATGCAAAGATAATTCTTGTATCTTTTACATTTTGTCCTTCTCAAAAGGTGTGCACCACATGGCGGAGATGACTACACTGTAAAAAGTCCTCATGATTAAATTCTCAGTCTTGATTCTGCATAGTTATTGTCTGTATTAACTTCAATTTGAGAATGCTCAACCTAAATCTGAATCCTAAGCATGTGAAGTTGCGTGCATGTACTTGCATGCACTTTCTTGCATGTACTTTCAAAAGCAGACAGTATTTTTTTTTCATTTGTGTAACAGGTGTCTATTTTTTTTAACTTGCTCTGTTGTTAATGGAATTGTTCACGTAACTCTAAACCTTTGCCAGTATCATTATTGGTTCAGAAAGCATTTTCTTGTTGCTTTAACTGAAAGGAAGGAACAGGAATGAAGGACCATAAATCTTCTTGTTAGAAAAGTATTATGTGCTGTACTTGGTAGTAGTTTCCAAAATAGGAACTGATATTGTGACTTTTAAGTGTTTATGTGCAAATAAGCAAAAAACACTACTAGGGAAAATTGCTCTGTTTACAGTTTAAGGGTTTGTTCTTCACTTACTTTTTTGCAAATTTGCATTTTGCTGTGTTAACATAATTTAAAAAGCTAGATTATCTATTACAGGTTCAAATAACTTTTTTTTTTGTTCTTGTATGTTCTCTTTTGTTCTTTTTCTTTTTTTGTGTTTCTTTTTTAGTATGTTCTTTTGTATGTTCTTTGCATGAATTGTTTCTATTTTGCAATGTAAGAATTTACTCAAGCACATAGAAAAGCACATACATACAAGCACATACATTACTGAAAGACGTAGCTCTTTCTTGGCAAGGGGGGAGGAGAAAGTTGCAACATATGATTTTCAGCAGTTAATTTAAATGATTTATTAAATAAAATTCCTAAAGCTAGGAGTTACAGGTGTTGAATTAGATTCTTGCAAAAACACAATGAATATTCAATTTTTACAGCTGGAGTTATTCCTAACCCTTGAATTACAGGTTAGTCATCTTCAAAATTCTTTTCTTGTGATTRAAATCTGTATTTTCATATTTCCTTGCTGTAATAGTAGCATGAAAAGTCCATCAGCAGAGCCCTTTAAAAAAAAAAAAAAGAAAGAAAAGGAAACTATGAAGAGTAAACAAAAGTGCGGATGRCATAGTCTCCCAGAAACATTTCCCTGGGTCACAAAGCAGTTTGGTCTCAGAGTTTGTTACTGTGCGCACACTGCCTGCTAGATGCTGCAGCTTTGTGGCATATCAGAAGGAACTGGGCTGCATCCTCTTCCTGTCTCTTCTCCTAGAGAAGTTTTATATGTTTTTATTTATTTTTCATTGCAGCTATTGCTGGGTGAGGATAAAATTMTAGTTTCTTCCCTTTCCTTTAGAAAGTAAGACTGGATAGAATAGGTCATCCCTGTCTACTGTACCTTTATTTCAAAATATGGATTGAAGAGTCAATGTCTTTTGACAGTGTGGCTTATGTATTTTAAATAATAATATCATTGTTAGAATAGCACCAATAAAAGGTATAAATAGTATTTATACCTTCTGATAAGGTATAAGTCTTTACAGAAATTGAAAGATGTTTTTGCAGACATTTCATTCTGATTTTTTAAAAATTTTTAAATTTTATTGTTTATGCTTATGTTTTAGAAGTAGAGCAGTGGTCTCTTCAGTYTGGTTTTAGTATTTGACATTGGCCAATACCACCTACTTCAAAGCAAAAAATTATGGGTGGTTACAAAATACTCAGGTCACAAGGAAAGTGTTCTCTTAATCAGTTTATGAACACATGCAGCCTAACCATTGATTCAGAAGTATGTAATACAGTTCTGAATCTTGTATTTTTAAATCCTTCCTTTTACAGTAATGGAAATTTGTAGTGAATATATAAATGTTGTTTATATACGCAGGCTGTTTAAGTCTTAACTATATGGGAATGTGTTCCTCACACATATTCCATCTACATATGGGACACAAAACCCTTTTGCCTTTTATTATTTTTGAGCCCTCTAAAGATTTTGGCTCTATAAGAAGTCAAAAATATTACTGAACACTTTTCCATTCCGAAAAAAAAAATGAATAGGAAAAATATATACACAAAGAGAAATAAGTACCAAAGTCTTTTTATGTCAAGTTCATGGCCAAATCTGCATTTTCTGGAAAGAAGAATTTTCTCTCTCCTTTCCTCTTTCTATTTCTCTCTGTAACTCACACACACACACACACACACACACACACACACACACACACACACACACACACACACACACACACGCATATCCAGTCTTCTACCCAAAAACCTCTCTAGTCATGGAAAATTGGGGAAAAAACTGTGTTCTTCTCAAATGTGGAAACCTAAGTTTGTCTGTATAGTATTTCTGTCTTCTGTTTAATAACTCTGTCTATGCTCCGAGAAGTTTCTTTGTGTGTTCTCCTCATTTTCGAGTGTAGAAAGAAACCTCAGAAACCAAATAATTCAGTGAAAATGTGTTATTTGAATCATTCTTCTCAGTTATATACAGCTCCTAAAGCTACAGTTATTTATCCAGTGTTTGAGCATTTGGGATTATGAAGATGATATAGAAGAGAGGATCCAGAAAACTATCCATAGGGTTTTTCTTTCTTTTTTAACAGTTTTAAAGAAAAAATAGATACAGATTTACTCCTGTAAGACAAACACTTACTATAAAAAGCCACAAATGTTTATTAAAAACCTAAGAAGAATAGATTTGTTCTTAGTCTGCATTACTTCAATCAGCATTTTGCAAAGGATTGCTGTTGCCTGAAAACTTGAACTTGACTGAAGTATATACAGCCCCATTAGCAGTGTCACACTGAGTTGTATGAACTCAACCTCTGTTTGCATTATTCCTCACAGAGTATAACACAGTACTTGTAATACAGGTGTGTGACTGGTGGGGAGCTTGGGAAGGAGGTGAGGAARTTCATTCACATTAACATGCATGTCACAAAAGGAAACGCAGAAGCTGCTTGCATTGCTCTTGTGAAGCGTAAACCTTTACATACTGCGTAACGTATTATAACATTAAAAACATTACTATTTAGAGATTCTGTATCTTATAATTTAAGAGAGTCAAAGGCTGCAGATGGATCTGCAGAAGATGGAACTCTTGGAGGGGAAGATGGTTGATGAACTGGCTTCTCTTAAAGGCAAAATTGAGCAAACCAAAAAGGACTTGGAGATCTATAATAATTTACCAGCACTGAAAGCAGCAGGAGAAGAGAAGAAAAAGGTAATAATAGGAATGAAAATTAGAATTATGCAGAAGATGTGTGGTGTTTGTGTTCTTACAGGACTTAGATCTCAATTCCCCTATACTATGAGAATCATGATGGCTGAAAAATGGCTTGTACAGCAGTGCAGGTGAATCCAAATGTTGATTTTATATATCCTCATGTACCAGCCTGTCATTTGGGCACTTTTCTGTAACTTTCTTCCACAAAATTTGCCACTTTATTGAGCCATCTGTCCTTTTTTGCTCTAACTTTTAACAGTCTATAAGCTTGAATTTAGCAGCTAATCACAGAATGCAAACAAACAGAAAAATGTGGATTCTTTAGGTGTATACACATGTTCAAAGAAGAAGAAGCATCTTGAGAATCACATTTTTAGCTGGCAGAAAATGGATGAATTCATCCAAAAATATTAGTGCTTTTTTTTTTTTTTTTTCCCCAACTAGAAACTACAGGATGACAAAGAAAAACTGACAAAACGTAGCCGAGCTTTCAAGAAAATAATGGAACACTTAAATACAGAGTATGAGCGTCTGAAGAGTCAACTGCAGGAGAATGAGACTCATTCTCAGGTATTGCTCAAGATACATATTATCTCTTGAGCAGTTGCTATCTTGAATATACTTTTCTCATATGCATGAAGCAATGTTTGGAATGAATCAATTAGATCCTTCTGAGTGAGTTTTCAAAGTTACATGGCCTAGAGGCATATATAGTCAAATTTTCTACATTCAAATGTAGAAGTTAATGCTATGCCATCAATTTATTTTTGGCTTTGGATTTGAGACCTACTGAGTACAGGCCTTTTTGAGCTTAAAATTGTAAAAATCTTTTGTTTAAATATTTGCATTAATTTTGCTCAGAAATATCCCTTTTTCCCTTTAATCTTGTTGGGATGACTTAAGTTTTGAGGACCAGCTGAGAAAGAAACTACAGGAAGAAATAGGCTCACTATTAATTATGTAAGATCAATTTTCCTTAAAAATTTGTGGTAAGTCCCTGCTTTGCAACTCATGTTACAATTTCCTTTCTCCTTTTTTCAATCCTTTCTATGAACCAGTGAAGTTTAAGGGTTCATTTTGTTGTTTTAACCCAACATCACTTTGGTATATGAGTATACTTACATTTACATTTCAAAGTGAATCAGGAAGGTAAATGTGGACAAGGTCTACAGCAGCATTTATTCTCCCTACGACTACCTGCTGAAATTTTGTCAACATAAGGCATATAAGTATGTATGCACAGACAGAAATAGGATAACTTGAATTAAGTTGGGCCAAGACAGAGTGTGAATTGATTCATTTATTTTTTCTTTGCTTTTATTACTTGAGGTTACTGAGATCTTTGTCTCTTATGTTAGAACAATTGATTTTTCTAATTCAGTTACAAGGTGAAGGTGGGAATTTGTACTTGTTTAAGATAACTGTCATGTGTCGTGAACTTTGTGGATTACAAGAGTGAGAGTTCATACTTCTGAATGAAGTACATATAGCGTATGATTACCATGGAATAACTGAGATGTTGATACAAGACTCCAAAGAGTCATGTCAAAGTCTGTAAGTCTTCAAAGTTCTGTTCTTGCAACATCAGATTCTCATTCATAGAGATGATGTAAATGACAGCCACACAGTGTTAAGATATTTACWAAATAATGCTAAAAGTTTCTACTTAACTTTTACATAGCTACCTAACTTCTGTATAACTTCTGCATAACTAACTGTATTGCATTTGTTCATTTCACTTAAAATGCTTTATCAGCTGACATAACGCATCCACTTTAAAATGCAGAGAGTGCACATCATGAAGTGTTAAATCTTTGGAAACAGTGATTTTATAAGCAATTAACTGTACTGAATATTTTGTTTGGTCAGTATCAAAACGATCTCAAATCTAGGCACCCTTGCCAACTGTATTGCACATAGAAACATCCACATAGCATGCAGTGAAAATTAAAATTTATACAATTACCTTTTCTTGCAATTAAATGGTCATGATATTTATGATGAATCAAAACACTAGGTAATGTTTCTCCAGTATGAAATGTATTTTTTTGTAAAGGAGCAAGTATTGTCATACCTTCTAGTTTATGAATACAATTTTAAGTAAAATACAGCAATATTGTACTAAAATATTACTGTAGTTTTCATTGAAAAAATAGTTTTGGAATGATTTTCATCTTTTCTTCATCTTTTATATTTTAAGCATAAACATTTATTTAAAAACATCTAAATATCTTGAAATGCAAACTTCTGAACAGTAGCATCAGAAGAACAATTTAATGTTATAAAGTTGTATTGTGAGGAAGCAGCCATCAATATAATGTCCACATTAGTTTCCTGTTGATGCTGAAAAAATTGAAGAAGTGCCAACACTTAACCCACACTCCTACAATCTTCTTGCTGCAGGTCTGTTCTTATCACAGCTTCTGGCATCAGACAGGAAACTTAACTATGGCAGTAAGGAAGTTTCTTCTGTATAGCTGAGTCCAGGCCAGTTCCAGGAAATACTGTATCTTTGGTGATTTTAAGTCTTAGTGATTTTAAGAATAAATCACTTAAATGATATAAGCTTAATGGGATTCATGTTTCCCTCCAGTGTGTATCTTTTTTTCCTATGCTGTGCTTAGATGTTTCCCTGCAGGACAAAAATTTCAAATACCTGTCTTTTTTTCCATGTTCCATTTCAGTTGCATGCAATATTTTTACATACATAACCAGAAAGCAGCAGTATGAAATATATGAAATAACTGTCAACAGGTTCAGAAACGTCTTTCTCGGTATTTTTGATTTTTAATTTTCTTGTGGAATAAACTTGACTTACCAGGCAATAGAATGCAAAGTTCTGAAATAAGAATTGGGGAAGATTTATCGTATTTTCTAGGTGTTTAATAATCATTTTCCTTTTTGGCTCTTATTAAAGTCTCTTTTTTGTTTTTATCAGCTTACAAATTTGGAGAGGAAGTGGCAGCACCATGAGCAAAATAACTTTATGATGAAGGAATGTATCCTTTTATTTAAGAAATACAGTAAAATTCTCACACCGTAGTAATTAAGGAAAAAGTGCATTTCCTCTACCAGAACAAGACAGGACCGAATGGGGAGCTGGCGACGTGAGGAGGGGAAAAAGCAGAGCTTTGAAAATATCAATTTACACGTTAGTAGGTGTTATATACAATGAAACTTGCTTCTTTAACATTAAACAATCTTAGGAGTCTTAAATCRTGGCATTTGTCTTCGCAGTTTGGAGTTCTTGCTTCTGCATCAGTTTCGCTGCTAGGCTTGTATCTGTTCAAACATTATCCTCGTGTCTCTATCTGTTCTTACCTCAARCTATCCAGCCAGAGTTGTATTATACACTATGGTGATTTTTCCAGGTATTTTGCAGATGAAAAACACAATTCCGACCATGAAAAAGTAAACAGTAAACTTTATGCATTTTTATGTATTTCTTGTTAAACAAAAGAGGAATTACACCCTGGAGAGAAAAAAATCTAGTCAAATATGACAGAGAGTCTTTGACTGCAGAGTCTTCTGGGCTGATGAAGATGTTGTTTGCTCACTACATGAGGCTAATTGAAGAGGTATTTTCCACTATCTTCCCCAATAATAATTTAAAACCTTCCAAATTAATCGGCAAAATCTTATTTGCTGCAAATGACTTTCATAATACAACTTTTTAAATTAACAAAAGCAGTGAAGCTTTTAGAGTCTGTGATTCTTCCTTATCTTGTCATATCTACCGTAATTGTAGAGATCTGAGTAGGCATAGTTGTAACATTTATTCTCCAGGATTATGAAAACATTGCATTAAATTCCACACTTATCCTGGAGACCAAAATAGCAAACTGCCAAAGATTCCTAAAATCACTTTTTATAATTACACAACAAATAAATTATAAAAGTAATAGCAAAACTAGACCATGTTCACATATTCACAACTGTAGATCAATTCTGTGTGTAAGGTAATGAACAGTACTCAGTGCCTCAGAGAAAGACAAAGATATATTTCAGGCAATTCTGTCTATCTGTCTATCAGGGCAATTCTGCCCTATCTATCAAAAGAAATATATAAGATCTACATAAAGCAGTATTTTTTTTCATGTACCAAATATCACAATTCTCATGTTTTTTTAATATTCTAATCCAAAAAGAAAAAGGAATGGAAATCTTGGACAGACTTGCTTCAATAGTAGTGAGCTTTTCTGCTCTTTTTGTGTGTGTGTGTATGTATATCTGCACATACGTTTTTTTCTTTATTCTTTCAGACTATCATGTGGAGATAATAAGTTCTTAAAAGTCTAGTAGAATGTAATAATTCAAATGAAATAGCCTCTCCCCCCCTTTTTGTTTTTCCTCATTGAGAAAGAATTAACAATACATGTTTGGATTATTTTTTGTGTATGCCTTTTCATGTTTCCACCAGAAGACTCGCTACCTTATGCATATTGTATATTTGACCTTTGGGCATCCTACAGCCCTTCCTTTTTTATTGATGTGAAACCTTCTGGTAAACTTCACCATAACTCCACATGACTGAAATCACTTCTCAGTAGATAATAAACTCACCAGAAAATTTTAGAATAGGCTGCTGACATTTAAGAAATAGAATTAGAACCATCTGCACTATGAAGACTTTACAGGAATATTTTATTAAGTCAGTGTTATTTGTTCTAATGGGGGGGRAAAAAAACAAAAATCAAAGGAAAAAAAAAGATCATAGTACTAATAGGTCCTCCTAGTTTGCTGTGATGTATCATGTATCTAAGTACAGATTCTTGCACAGAATTTTATTCCTTCTTGGGCTGGTGAAAATAAGTGATCCAGTTTTCTTGGCCTGGGATTTTTGTAGCCCGAGTTCTTGGGTGTGCAGACATACAGCTTTACGTGGCTGGAATACTTTGGATGGGATTTGTTTGCACAGGACAATGAGCAGAAGCTTTTCTGAGGGAGAGTCTTTCTGAAGAAGCAATGCACATAAAAACAAAAGGTAACTACAATAGACTATTGTCATTTCAAGTGTGACTTAATATCTAGATTAGTGCAAATCTTTTTTATCAAATTTGAACTTTTTTCCCACTATTTGCAACTCTTGACTTTTTTTTGCAGAGGGAAACTTATTGTAATATGGTTCTCCTGTAATCTTTAATTACACTGATCRTTATGTTGTTAATTCATTTCCTTAATTCTTTTAATCAGTCATAGCAACGAAAAGTCAGGAGAGTGACTACCAGCCAGTCATGAGGAACGTGAAAAGGCTGATCACAGAGTACAACAAAGCTCTCGTAGACTCCCTGCAGAACACCAAGAGCTGAAGAACTCCGGGCGCCTCCTTCCTGTTGCTGCCAGCAATGGGAGATGTGCCCAGGTATCGTGGGCAGCTGGGCTAGCGAGTGATGTGAATATTTAGGGATATTTAGCAATCTGTAAAATGTATAGTGCATACTAGGTGTAAAATCCTAGAAAATTTTACTTAGACYCATGGCTGGATTTCTACCCAAGGTTGAAGTTTCAGTCTGCCTTGCACAAYGGCATTGTGTAATTGTCTTCTATTCCTACTCCTGTAAAACATAATGGAATCCTCCCTGGAAAAGGACTGTCTGGGCTTTTATATACATTGATCTTGAATAAAAATGTTTTTTTTTTTTTTCTACTAGCAGCTGTAAGTGCTCTCTTATTTAAACAGCAATTTATAAAAACGAAGGAAAACATCTAAGGACAACAAGCACCTCATGTCAGAAATCTTTCGTATTATAAAATCTCACTTAAAAAAACATTTTTTAAGGCTGTATCAAAGAATTTTCAATTTTTAAGGGAAAACTGGTTAGTTTCTGGAGCATTGTCTAATTTTCTGTGTTAATATAAGGACAGAACTGCACTAAAGTAGTGYAGTAAAACTGCACATAGCTGATGACTTTGAGCACAGCCTTTTAGCTTTATATTCACCAATAAAAAGTAAAATCATTTATTTTTTTCTGTTTTTATTTTTTCCTCTGAGGCTTCAAGCTGCAGTGTCATATGTGACCTCTTCTTTGAGAAAAATGCATAGAAAAGAGCATTCAACATAGACCAAAAACAGGACTAATACAGAAGTATTGGCATGCTGCATCAAAAAGAAATGTTCAAAAAAAAAAAAAAAAGAAAAAAGAGAGGGAAAAAGGAAGAAAGCAAGAAAACTTCCCTGTATATTTATTTGCCTCATATTTTGCCAGTAATGCAAACTCCCTCTTGATTTTTTCTTAGCCCCATATAATGTAAAYTAGTCGTGGTCATTTAGAAAAAAATGCGTAACACACTATAGCTGKTACTCCTAGACAGGTAGTTTGAAAATGTGTTGTTTGTTAAAATCTAAATTATGTGTTTTTGTCTCTCAGTTTCTCCACATCTATGATTGCCATTTTGAATATGTGGGAAAGATGAGTACAGTAAATATATTGAATATTCTTGCAGGGAGCACTGTTCCATGTTCAGCTCAGTAAATACTATTGCTTTCTATATTATTCATGTAATACTTGGAGAAGATGGAACAGGATTTCTGCAAACCTAAGTCTGTTATCTAGGGGAAATTCCCACTGATGTCTCTTCCTTCCTCTCAGAGTTCTGGTTAGTCTGTAGAGGGCCTGTTATTTGCAGAAATTAACTCGAACATTCTCACCACTCAGACCATTCATTAGCCAGTAAAATTGTCCTCTGAATGCAACTTGTCCTATAGCAAAATGTTTTAATGAAAAATGGAAAGAAGCTGCAAAATCATTTAACAAGCTGCTTTAAATTCTCTTTCACTCAGGACAATAGCTGGTTTTGCTCCCTGTCACTGATTCTGTGAGATTGCCTGGTAAAGATTTGTTTACTCCAGGTGTGTAACAAAACACTCTCTCCAACGCTATGTTCTTCTTGCTGTTCTACTGATAGTCTTCAGATCACCTGTTCTAGGCTGAGAACCTCTTCAGTCACTCTTTTTACAGTTCATCCTCATCATCTTGAATCATGGTCATATTATTTTTGGCTGAGAACCTCATAGAACCTAAATGGTGAGCTGCAAAACCTTTGCAGGGGTATGCAGTCTCCTTCAGAAGATTAGTGTGTTCATTAATAAGCAACTTTCAGTTGTGAACCAAGTAATTTGTATCCTTATCTAAATGCCRGAGCCTGAAGACAAATACACTCTAATCTGCTAGTCAATTAAGTATTGAACATGTGCATGGAATAAACATTTTTCTGCTAAAGGTCCTGTGCAAACATAAAGACACCAATTCAATGGCACAGGTCTTTGTACCCAGGCTTTTTTGTTTGTATGTTTGTTTCCATTATACACAGTGCCTCCAAACTGGCAATATTTAGCTTAGTTATTTAGCTTAGTGTAGAATATTGATAGTCACTTATTCCTGCGCAAAAACACGTCTCAAGATGAGATTTATGTCTCAAGATGAGAAGTGTATTTCCCTATTTCCTTCAGTCTTATTTCAAATATGACTAAAATTGTATTGTTCAAGGTCTCAAAAAATTACCACTTGGAATTCCTCCTTTCATACAGAGCTAGGAGCTTTGTGTCTTTTAAGAGAAGGAACTAGCTCACCAGCAGTTTGCATGTGACTGTCCTATATTAGTATATGATCTTAGACAATCTCGGTGTAAAGTGTTTGGAAGAAAAGCTGGGTAGTTAGCAATTCTCTTGCTAAGGTGCAGTTGTTTAAGSCTAGTGACAAATACTCAGTTTTTGAAAGAAAATAAATGCTTATGTGTGTTTTGGGAAAATTATATGGCATTAAAAAATGAGTAAAAATCTATTCAAGTACTGGCATGATTCTGATGACTGCAAAGTTAAACAATGCAGTCATCAGAAGTTGAACAATGTGAACAAGTCATCGAATTAAAGTTACTAGTATTACTGCCCAGCACTGTGGAGGATGACTCGGTGTTACAGACATTATAGATGTCACGGACATTTGGATTTCAAATTGTTAGCATTTAAATATAAACACACAGATTATCCATCCCCCAGCATCTGTTGTAGAAAAGCAGTAAGAATGTACAGAGAAGAATAATATGAACTCTGTAGCTTCTCTATCAGGTTGCCGATGKTGGATGATTCTGCTGTCAGACTGGCAGGTTCCAAAGCTCATTCACCTCCAGCCTTTGTATCGATCACAGGACAGGAGGAGTGTAAACAACCCTTAAGTTTGTTCTCCAAGAACCTGCTCCAATCTTGGAAGAGAAACCAGCGGTTAAATTTGGGTTAATTTAGCGTGTGTTCGGAATTACCTCTTTTAGCACACTGTTTAAAAACCAAAGCAGACCTGTGCCCAAACAGGAAAACAATGAGATCAAAAAGAGAGAGCATCAACAATGCAATTTTATTCCCTTCATACAGACATACTGGACTAAAACTAGCTTGCTTCTCACTCATGAGACTTCACATACTTGTTTGGCATCATCAGAGGAGTATTCTTTGCACGCATCAGCACTCAGCCATTTTCCATACGAAAAAGCCAACACCTCCACCATTTTGTCAAAGAAAAGAAAAAAAGTGCTGAGGGTGAAAAAAACCCTCACCATATCTGTATTTTAGCAACACTGAGCTGCCATTTGAGTTAATGTACATACATATATATATATATATATATAGGAGGGAGGAGCCTGGGGGTTGCTTTGAGTGGTTAGTCAAAGAGCGGCCAGGCCACTGCTGCCTCTCCCTTCCAGGTGACCCAAAACCATTGGGTTTCAGGGCTGGGGTCGGTCTRCACAGCACCGTGCAGGACGGGACCTGGCGGAAGGAAGCCTAGACTCTGCAGCTGCTGAGCCTCTGCTTCACTTTAGCTGATGGCACTGGGTGATAAGTCCTAAGTTTTAGTTCTCTCTTTCTAATCCCTAGTGCTTTGCTGCCTGAAAACACACACATTATTATCATGTCGAAGGCCAAAGCAATGGCTTGTTTCCAAAACGGCATAATATACCACGGCACTGCAAGAGGATATGTCCTTTCTGCTAATATATCTACCTGATTAAAGAAATGCAGAGTGGCATTGTTTCTCTTTYCTCCTCACATATTTCCATGTGCTGCAGCATGTGTGAATGGGCTGTCCTTGAGACAAGCATGCTGCTTATCTAAAGAGGAAAGCCTCGTGTCAGAAGTTCAAGGCACTTGGAATGTCATAAAGTCAGCTTTCAATAAACAGAGTTATCCAAAGTCATATTTAATGCCACGGTTKTATCTACATGCTGAAATATTATTAGATATATGAATATATCTACTTGCTGTAGCTGATTTAAAAGGTCCTGTATGTTACTTTGATGGGTCTTAAACTAAATGTGAATGCTAAGATTTATTAATCAGCAACCAATTAATCAGCAGCAACCACTTAYAAAACTGATGTTCCTGAGAGGAGAGCATTTTAGAAACCCGATGGGATTGGACAATCTTTCTGAATCTCACCATTTAAAAAAAAAATAGACAACGTGTTTAGTCTGTGGAATGATCTATGTAGCCAGCAGTTGTACTCCCAAATACAGCTAGTAACCCACCGGAGGACATAACAATTGGCCAGACCAGTTATTAACTTCTGTTAGTCTCTAGTAAAGCAGTATTTTACTTTGCTCTTGCTGCCATCCTCATAAWTTTTAATATCTAGATGAGAGTACACTTAGTTTTAACTTGCCACATTTCACCCCATTTTGCAGTTTCAAGTTCAGATATGAACTATCTCCATTTGCACTGTGTCCCTAATACCATTATTAGGGACATTCTTCCTTCCAGGCAGATAAATGCCATTTCTTTCAGAAGGTCAGGTTTCTTTTTACTGATAATCTGATTTTGACAGAAAGCAGCTTTTTTTTCAATCCTTAATTGATAAAGCAGCCTGAGATATGTGACCCTTGTGTTGAAAGCATCAGACAATACATGCAGATGACTGGATACTTAGAGATGGACGTCTCTGTTACATGGGATGCTGCTATGGTAAAAAACTGGGTGGTGGCAGAGGGTGAGAGAGTCTGCTGCATTTTTCTGTTACACAAATAGAAAAATGTCATCATAGAGAGCTTAATATAGGCAACTTTTAGGAAGGTCAACTTTCTGATAACATGAAAAGTRAGGAGCAAAATACAAAAAGTGAGTCTGATGTGAAAATAACAGATTGAGAGATGATGAAATCCCTTTAATTCCACAATTCAGCTTAAGTTTAGCCTGTGATTAGATTAGATTTCAACTACAAAAACATTCCAATTGTGGCATTGTTTCTGTTTTCCAAATACAAATAGATCTAAGCTCAAAATTATTCATAAGTTACATGTTTCCTGGATCATAGATGCTATTTTTCTTTCTAAATGAAATATGAAGCAGAAACATTGCTGAGACTCATACCCTAATCACATTCTAGCTTGCATAACTATGCAGAACTTTACATTCTTCTTGTACCTGTTGTACAACAATTGTAAAAAAAGGTATTTTGAAGTCTTGCCATGCACTCTTATCCTGGGGACAGCTACTTTTCTATGGCAGACCAGCAGGCACACTGTAGCTCTTCAAAGAAGACTGAATTTCCACCATAGCTAACCTAGATAATTTGCATCCTGCAAAATCAGTATCAGCATCCGTCATTTAGGTGCATCACAAATGTGATTTTGTGCTTTTTCATTTTGAGATACTCTTGAGCTATATTGGTTCCACTGAAGTCATAACTCTGGTTGTGATTTAACATTGCAACAAGTTTTTAGTCTGTTTACAATCATCAGATGGAGGGAAAAAAATATTTTCAGTAAATCATAAGAACTAATGAGGTAGTTTGTTGGATTGGGGCTGGCTTTTGTCTATACTGCATTCAACCAGTTATTGTGTTAGGGTTTTGTTTTATATGTTCTTTATAAGGTGATGAGATTCTCTGGAGTCAGCAGCTTTTACAGTGGATTAAGTAAATAATCAAAACGATTGCATCCTGAGCAATTAGCAGATCTGCACGGTGAGCAGTGAATGTCTATATCCACCTCCGTGGATGGAGGGGTTTTATTTGCCTTCTCTCCCTTGCTGGAGGATGACATTATTGTTCCCATTTTGCTGACTGTGACCCACAGCAATCTTCTGCCTCTCCAGCAGCACCAGATAACTGCTTTGATGTATTGCTGGATGGGCAGGATTTGCACTRCCCCGCGGTCCTGCTGCTGATACAAACATGCCTTTAAGATCCTGCCTTTCCCATCCTAATCTACATAGGAAACAGGAAAAGGAACTTAAAACTCCCTGTACTCAGACAGCAATGAGGCTGTTCCCGCTTGCTCCCATGCTGCAGTTCCTTGCCAGTGACTTGTAAACAAGATTCAGGGTGCCATGCAAGAGGAGAGGAACTGGTAAACCTTCTGCCCCAACCAAAGGATACCCCATGAGCAGCTGCAAGAACTGGATGGATGTATTTCGGAGAGCATGGACCCTTTAGCACATCTAGTTATCTATGGATTCACCCTGATGCTTTCAGGTAAGCCTTTGCTTTAATATCTGTAATCAAAATGTCCTGCCTTTCTTGCTTCTTAAGTGCAGATATAGCACATCTTTGTCTGCTCCTTACTCTATAACTTATCTTTGCTAATTTAAATACTTGTGCTTGCTTCAGTAAGAGCACTTATTTTTCTGAAGCTCACAGTGAGAGTGGGGAGCAAGATAGTGTCAAAGTTATCAGGGAGAATTTAGGATTTAGGATCTGCTGCTAGCTTTTTTAGTATTAGAAGCCGTTTTTTAGCATATAGGCACTTTGTAACAAAGTTTCTTTGCTATTTTATTTTTATTAATTTTCCATTAATATTTCCATAAAGCTAATATTACTTTGAAATCACCCATGTGTCCCCCCCATGCACACACAACACACATATACACAATCTATTCTAAACAYAGATTAGATGTGGACTTTTTCTATGCACTTCTGTTGTGATCTAGCCCATGCAGTCAGAAAAAGTGGCATTTTTAGCATCAATACTCTGTACCTGATTTTAGACAAGCCATTTATTGTGGATTCTAGATATGTCAGTGGATATAACGGCAGGAAAATCCACATGATTCACAGCACTTCAAATACAGCTGAAGAAAGTTTCATTATTATCACCAAATGCCCTAAGAAGTTTTGCGAGTCAAAGGTTATTGTCAATCACRAAGAACAGAACTCCTGAAAGGTAGGCACACAGTTAGGATGTTAATAACATAGATATAGTAGATATAGTTCACAGCATTCAGCACAGTATTGCTAGAGATGTTTTACTTAAGCTATCACAAGCTATCACATCGTGATGAGGCTTGTTCTCATGGTATTCTGGATTGCTCAGTGTTTTAAGTATTGCTAGTAATACCCATATTCCAAATTTCTAGACTGATTATTCTGGGCAACATACAAATGTATACATTTATGTAATACATTTGAGATATATATATATATGTATTATATGATATATATACACACACACACATACCGACAAAATATAATTAGTATATATACTACTATATATGTATAATATACATATATATTTGTAATATGTAATAAATGTAAACAATATTCAGGGTACATACTCTCTGTAACGGAGAACAGCAACTGATACAACAACCTTAGACTCTTACTCAGTCCCAAACATTTAATTGGGGTCTAATTAGTGTGTCCACCTGGTCCATCTTTAGACAAAACATAAGGTGCTGTAAAACTTCAGATTGTGCAGCAGTGGAAAACCAAACATAGCTAGAAAAGATAAATGTCTTCATTATAGTGTATTTTTCTTTGCAATTTGCAGATCTTCATGATTCACAAAATGAAATATGACTAAAAATAAATATGTAGCTGCAGCTTATTTGTTGTTCAGCTGTGTTCAACCTATCMATAGCCCTTAGATCATGCCCTGATTTTCACTATTTGTGAAATACCTGGTGCTGTAAGAGGAACAGAAAGTCCAGATACTCCAGTAGTTTCCCTGTGTGTTCCCTCTCACTGTACATTATAAGATATTGTGAGTTCCAGCAAAAATGCAGCAAGGTGCCTGAACCCACAAGCACGGGAGGAACAACCGCGGTCTGTGCACGAGGGAGGTGGGCAGTGGAGGCAGCGCCAGGCCCTGCCTGTCCCACAGCAGAGCCCCGCGAGGCCACAGGCGCGCGTGGCCGTCACACCCATCCCTGCAGATCTGCGGCTTTCCCGCTTTTGTTCCAGCGTGATATCATGTTTCCTGGGGCCAGTGGCGGAGGACAATGCGAGCCGCGCTGGTGGGGATGCGACAGGCGGGGTCCAGGAAAGCGGCGCTCACATCGGCCGCACGGAGGCCGAGGCCATTGGCAGGCAGGGAGCTGAGCTCCTCTCCTCCCCGGTGACACCACACCGGGCCTTCTGGGCAGGGTGTGCTGCTCGGAAGGCACAAAATCTGCTCCACCCTGTTCCAGAGCAAGACCTTGGCCTTGTCTCCTCTTACAAGAAASGGCCCATAGTTTATTTACTTACATTTGAACAACAGGACTCCATTGCTTGCTTGAGATAAAAGATGTGCCTTTGAAAAGTGTGGCGTACATAGTATAGTGCATACCCGATTTCACTGCATATACAATCATTGTTTTGTCATGTTCAAATGAATTACAAAAATCTGAACTTGATGTGGGTAAAACGCTTGCAGCAAACAGACCATCATCACTTTTTTCCTGTTGGTTCATTCTGTGCTGGTCAACGTTTTGTAGAATGAAAATGATCTTGGTATTTACAAAGGCAGAGATTCAAGGTAAGGTTGTGGCAAGATCTCTTTTAACTCCTGGGCAGGATGTGTTAAACACTCACCTTTTGCCTTGAAGGCTGCGATGACAGCAAGGCGTGATCGACAGCAGCAACGTACATTATCATACGTTTCCATTCCCAAATACAGGCATAATCTTCTGTGTTATAGCAGTGCACCAATGACGTTAGATCCGGGGAGTTTCTAACAATATGGAAATTATATTTTTGTTCATTTTGCTGTTGGACCCACATATGGCCACTTTAGCCTTTTTAGAAACATTGACAGTGTAACAATCAGTAGAAATCAAGCACTAACTATACATAATATCTGTGTCTGATCTGATTGTCTAGAATAATGTCTTGTCTTGAGAAAAAGATATATTTTATTATCTATAAGACAATAATAATATTGTTATTATTGTTATAATTGTTATTATTGTTATTACGATGCGATTCGTTTCCATAGTTATTAAGCTAAAAGCTTCAATCAAAATAATTGCCACTTGCCCACCACATCATTACTACACTCTAGACTCTTCAAATTTACAAAGTGGTACTTTTTACATACATACAGGAAAGTCCTAGTAATTCTTTTTCAATATTTTTTTTTTCCCTTTTGTGAAGTTGGAAATTAAAGAAAAGCTACCTTCTCTGGTTAATTAATACTTGTAATAGTGAATATGAATGTAATTCTTCCCATAATTGTAGAGAATATGTGTGTGATTTTCTTCAAATACACTGTTGTCAGATTGAAATTTCACCTGAACTTCTGACTTTTTCCAATGCCTACAGTTCTGTTTCTTTTCTTTTTTCTTTGAGACTTTGACAGCTAAAGCAGCTCACAAAAAAAGCACTTGAGCTGATGATACCTTTTTCGGGACTATTTTAATTAAACAGTACTTTTATGATAGCTACATTTTCATAAAACTGCTAAACTGAATTGAAGGAGAGATTAAAGCAGTTTTCCAATTCTTATTCCTGAAGTGCATTTGAAGTATGAGATCCAGCAAGTGACTACCTGACTGCCACGCCTGGACCCATGGACCTTAAGTTTACTCTTAATTAGCTTTTAATTAGATATAGTTTTCATGTACTACATAAATTAAAAGCCTGATGCAGGAAACTCTGGCTGAATGTCTGTACCCTGCTGAATGTTTGCAGGGTACAAATTTCTACACAGATTCATTCAGATGATCACCACTGCAAAACCAATGGAGCTCTATTTTGAGACAAAAGAGAGCTATTTTGTTTTAATTACATTTTTGAATATATGTTTGAAAAGAAAAATGATCCAGCTGTAACCAGATTAATTGTTCTCTGAGCCTGCTGCTGTCAGCCAAAAACAACAGTTGCAGCCTGTGCAGGCAGCAACGTGCACCTACCATAAGAGGAGTTACAAAAATGGCCTGATTCCCCCTCATTCCTTTTTTAGCTTTAGATTTTGCTTTTGGTTTGTGCCTGGTTCAGCCCTTGTGTAAGGTGGGAGCAGCTCTGGAGAAGCCTGTATTCCCAAAGGCCATTCGAACTGCTGGGAACAGTCAGGGTGAAGGGCATTACATCAGATCTGAAGAAGTCAAACCTAAAGGGCAAAATGAATTCACACTATTTTCACAAAAGTTAACATATGGTATTGTTTATATTTCATATACATATATTAACATGTAAGTATATATTATATTGTTTGGTATTGTATCATAATTAAGCTGTTTTAAATTGATTTTTTGTTATTGCTGCAGCATTTTGCRGAGATGATCTGATCCCCACAAAAATATCATCTGGAAGTCTTTAGGTGGAGAGGAGGGAGCAAAAACAGTCAGAGAGCCTGACTGCAGCAGAGCTTCAGTATATGGGCTGAGTGCAGCTGTAATGTAGGGGAGATGCAGAGCTGGTCCTTCGTATGCTCACATGAGAAGTATCTGGACTGCTCTCAGGAACTCAGACTAATTTGAACCTCTCTGGCCTAAACTGATTCCTAAATACATGGAAACCCTGTTCAGATTTCTAGGAAAGATTAAGAAGTCTTCAGGGGTGGGAGGTGAGGAAGAAGTAGGCACAGAACATGACCAAAACAGCTGCTGTTTCTGTGAGATATTTGTATTGTTCCACATCAGCCTGTCCAAATTTGTATTCGGAGTTTAACAATATTGTCTATTCAATGCAGTTCCATCTGCTGATATCTTTTTTTCCCGTATTAGTTTTCTGGCTATTTACTCCAGCCTCGTCATTGGTCTGGGGAACATTAGTCTCCTTAGTCAAATTCATCTGCCCAGCACCAGCATCATCTGCTGGGTTCCCTTATGCAGACAAAACAGTAAGCACTGAACAGACAAGAAGTCAGTAGAGTATATGAATCCAGCAGCCAAATCTGCCAGATACTTCCAGCCACTGCTTACCTTGCACGCTCAGTTATGTTCTATGGAGGCTAATAGGTTTCATGTTTAATTTTCTGCATTTTAGTGCACGCAAACAAACATGATAGATATACTCCAATAGTTCCACAGTGTGGCAAGGAACATCCTGTTACAGACATATTCTAACCTGCAAGAAAATTTTGACTCTAGGAGCCTTACTTGGCTATCTGCAAATTCAGCCAGTTTTAGCTGAACAGCAGCCCTGTTCTACTCCAGCCAGATTCCTAATCTTTTCTCAGTATTACCTAGTGCACTAGCAGCTTGTTACCCAGCAAGACACTTCTGCATGTTCTTCGTTTTCCACTTTGTTTGCTTATGGTCAACCAAGATGAA